ATTGAGCATGCCACAGGAGCATGCGCTGGGCAGGGATGTTAGTTCTGAATGTCTATTAAGCACTAAGAACTTGGCAACGGAGACTTGCCTTGCTGTGCCTTCCATGAGTTGTGCACTTGCCAAGGGTACCCTGCCCAGGCCAATATATAATGAAGCAGAGTCCAGTCCTTCCTCACTCCACAGAGGTCGATATGCCAGTGAGCCCCGTGCGCCTTTACAAACAAATATGTTTTCCCATGCTTCCCACTGGGGGAGCCCTTCCTCATGGGTCTAAAATGGACTGTCCTCCCTACCTCGCTGCTAGTAGTGCTCAATACAGCCCAGCAGCAACAGGTGGCTGCCACTATCTGATTTCAGCCAGCAGCTTCAGTCTCCTGTGTGGGGGGAGAGAGAGAGAGAGAGACTGATTTGCAGTCCCTGGTCAAGAGTGACCCAGGAATGGAAAAACTGTTAGTAGGCACATGCTCTGCTCAGGACTGAGGTGCTTTGGTACAGCTCTCTGTGTGGGGACTCCAGCCTTGAAATAGCAGCAGGTGTTGCGAGTTGGGATGGAAGAGCAGCAGGGGTGTAGCCCACACAGCTCCTGCCTAGTTTAAGCCATTGTTTCCATCCCAGATTCTCCTACCTTTTATTTAATGAATAGGAAAATGTCAGTTTTGTATCACAGAATGGGAGGTGGGGGAAAAAGAGATCTTTCACCCAGGCCGCCCCTATACTGAGAGGTCAGGGCTGGAAGTCCCAGCTGGGGGAGGAGGAATGTAGTGGGGGAGAGGCTGTTGACAAATCTAAATGATTTGATATCACTTGGGAGTTTTCCTTAATATATAAAGTTGCCATTGATGTTAATGTGAGCAGGTGAACGCCTCTACCCCCTCATTCATGCAATGCATGCCTCGCTTGCTGGGAAGATCACAGGGATGCTGCTAGAGATTGATAATTCTGAGCTGCTGCTGCTGCTGGAATCGCCAGAATCCCTCCGCTCCAAGGTATGATGTGTTGGCAGTCTACATGTGAATGTGTGCGCAGAGAAGTTACAGGGCAGGAGGATGGGCCAGCGTGGTAAATGTCTGCTGTAGGCAGAAGCAAGCAGTAGTGTTCTAAGAGGAGAGTGGGGAGAGAGGAAGCAGAAATGACCCAAGATTAAATACATGGCACGAGTAATTGTGTGGCCCCTTCCCTTGCCTCCCCATACCAATGGAGAAAGGAGAGGGTGGAGCAGCTATTTTGAAGTTGAGAGCAGAGGTGTTTTTCAAGGAAAAAAAATACTTTGAGAGGATGTTGTGCCCTTGTTGCCAAGAAGGCTAACAGCATACTGGGCTGCATTGGTAGGAGCTGGGGCAGATCGAGGGAAGTGATTATTCCCCTCTATTCAGCACTGGTGAGGCCACATCTGGAGTACTGTGTCCAGTTTTGGGCCCCCACTACAGAAAAGTAGGAGAGAGTTCAGTGGAAGGCAATGAAAATGGTTATGGGACTGAGGAACATGACTTATGAGGAGAGACTGAGGGAACTAGGCTTATTTAGTCTGTAGAACAGAAGACTGAAGGGTGTTTTCAAAGAGGATAGAGCTAGATTGTTTTCAGTGGTGGAAGATGATAGAACAAGAGGTAATGGTCTCAAGTTGCAGCAGGGGAGGTTTAGATTAGATATCAGGAAAAACTTTCTCCCTTGGAGGATGGTGAAGAGCTGGAACGGGTTACCAGAGAGGTGGTGGAATCTCCATCCTTGGAGGTTTTTAAGGCCCAGCCTGACAAAGCCTTGGCTGGGATGATATAGTTGGGGATGATCCTGCTTTGAGCAGGGGGTTGGACTCAATGCCCTCCTGTGGTCCCTTCCAACCCTAATTTTCTATGATTCTATGTTGCAGAAACAGGCTGGAATTGAGACAGAGCAAGGTCAGCAATGACTTGTCCTTTCTGAGTGTCTTTGCCCTAGGATACTCTCCCTCCATTTAGCTCAGAGTACCTAACAAACCAGTGAGGACAGTCCTAGGCCAGTGCTCACAAATGGATTCAATTTGCTAATCATTTAGAAACTAGCTAACTAAAGTTAAAGAAAAAAAAGCCCTCTAGTGAAGAAAGATTCTATGTGAACAAAAGCAGAGAAGGCGGGGGGGTAATAGTTTAGCTTACTACTTGTATAAAGAGATCATTGGTTTGTAGTCCTTTTTTCAGGAAAAAGGTGCATGGAGTCGGACTTGGCACATAGGACTGGTGTTTCCAGGAGCTGGCAAAGTTGACAGGCAGATAAATGAGGGATTGGGAAAAGTTGGGACCCAGATCCAGCATGTGGCTTGCAGGAATGGGATGTCCCAGAGTAAGGAGGACACAGGTGTGTTCAGAGGAAGAAGATGCAGACTAGCCTGTCTGACTGTTTGGCCGAAGAGAGACTGAGACATGGTGTGTGCAAAGCCTCTTTAATATTTGAAATCCTTAATTCCCTGACTGACTAACTAAAGAAGAGTGTGGGTAGGTGCTGGCCTGGCTTTCCCTGCCCATCAATCCTGACTGACATCCCCAGCTATTCCAGCTCATTTTAGTCTGACAAACGGAGCACGAATGGCTGTTGGTTCATTTTGTTCTCAGACAGTTGGAGGTCACCTGAACAGAGCCTGCTTGTGGAAAATTGGCTGCTGGCTTTTTAGCAAAGCACAGAAAGCAGAAGGGATCCAACTGTAGGAGATGGGCACAAGATGGGCTGATTCGTCCTGATGGAGGCAACTTTCTTGCCAGAAAATGACTATTCTTTCACCACTGTGATCTCTGTTTGGGGATTACAGAATTGGTGCTGGTTTATGAGGTTCTTGTTCACAGAGATTTGGGTTCCTGGAGATTCTGTAGGGACCTATTTGTGCTAACCAGTCAAAAGCAGCGTCTCCCCAGTCTTCATCCCCCAAATCACTTGGCAATAACACACAATCCTGGTGACTTCGTTAGCTGTCACTGAGCAACATACTTTGAGGCAGTAGATCCTGCTGTGAGCAGTTTCTTTTTGTGCATGTCAGAAGCCATGGGTTTGGGTCTATGCTCTGAGCTTTCACCTGTCCTGTACAATACCTCCTGTAAGAGGGAGTTCTTAAAGGAGCCTGGACAATAGTGAACGTGCATTTGCTAAATCTGTCAGGCTGATGAAGGATCCACTGTTATCTGACAAGTGTAACCTCTGAGAAATGACCTCTCTTCTAAATATCCAGACATAAAAATGCTGTCTGTGCAGAATCTGCTTTTCCTCATGCTTGGCTGCTCAGACCCACTGAGAACTGATCAATTTTATTCCTGCTTCCAGTAGTGACAGAATATTATTAAAAATAATATTATTTGCTTGTGCCATCTCCCTTTTTAAAACAGGCAGCTTGCCTTTGCCAGGTGGAATCAGACTACTGGCTCAGCTACAAAGGAGTCTGGACTCTTGGTACCTAAGTAGTGCTTCTGAAGAAGGCAAAAGGCCCCACAATGAATGTGGCCAGCTATGCAGGGTTATATGAAGAAGAGGCTGAGCTGTTCCTTGTAAAGTAAATCATCAGAAGCTTCTGGGACAAATATCCTGATAGCAGTTGTTATAGTACAGAAAGCCCACATCCCACACAAGTTAGTGGAGGGAACACCCTTCACCCCAAGTTATATGCTTTGGCATATTGCAGAATTGCCCAGTATCTGAAAGACTTTCTGGATCAGAAGACAGTGGAGATTTTGAATAAAATTAATCTAATCCAGACCTACTGTTATAATATAGTAACTCTGATAACTAATTCATTTCTTGAAAGAGCATCTATACTGGGGTCCAGTTAGGAGCCTCGGATATCGTGTTACTTGTGCGGAGAGCTGCTGCTATCAGACTGACTAAAGTCTCCACCTTTTGTTTTGTTTTGTGAGATTGAGGAAGCAGTTGCAGTGCTCCAAGCACACCAAGCTACTGAGTCGACGCATAAGAGTGGCACTGCCACGTTCCTTCAGTGAGATGCAGGTAGGTGGGGAGGGGTACATAGACTCTAACCTTGTGTAAAATGAGACCAGGCTACCTAGTGGAGTGGTTTCTGGCTCAAGTGTGAGTTTTTCAGGAGGGGATTGAAGGTCAACCAATCTGGCCTGGAGAGAATTTTCTTGGACCCACTTGAACAAATGCTGTCTACTGTCTTCCAGAGTCTGAGGAGTTTATCACTGAGAAATGAATAAGTGACTTCTGCCCAATTACATAGGGGCAAGCAGATGTTGAAACCAGTTCCCCTGAAGCCTCCCCACCGGTGTTATTGTGGAATTGTTTAACACCATGGTTTCCAAGCTTTTTGGAGCCATGGATACTGTCCATCCTCAGACATTTTTATGGTTCACCATGGTCCCTTATCAAACTTCTAATTGAAATCTCTATAATGGTGAATGGGGTCTAAGGAGGAGCATTTATTTGGGCTTCTTGGACCACGACTTATGGACCACAGTAATCCTTGTAGAAGCATAGTCAGTGGCAGTGCCGGTGCTCCCTCCCAATACACCTTCAGTAGAAGCTTCCAACCTTCCTGATCAATAGTAAAAAGTGAGCATCCGGACCCGTAAAGGGTTCCCGTTCTGAGAGCACCTTTACATCATTTCCTTGCTATCACAGGTCACTTAATTAATCTGTGACTTACTGACTTGGATTGTGTTTCTGCTTCTAATATGTTTACAATTTGTTTTTTGTAGAAGACTGAAATATGAAAGACACACTCTTCTCTGCTCTGAGCAACACTTGTCTCTGGGAAAAAAAACAGCAACCTTGTGTATCACCATGTCCAGCTGAAGCGTGTGTTCTACATACAGTGACTCTGACTTGCATTAAGGCCCAGTCCTGTTGCATTACTTTTTCTTGGTGCATTTAAAAACTTTGCAAAATGATTTTTTTTCCCCAGAAATGAACTGCACTTGTGTAACATTTGCCCATGTGAGCTCTCTTCTTGCAACCCTAGCAGCTGGGAGCACGTTGTGAAAATGCAACATGGGGGATATGCAATAGAATGGAAGACTCTCCTCTTTAATGGTGAGGAGAGAAACACAATTGGTTCAGTTGTAGCATTTCAGGAGGTGACAAGTACTGACAATTCACCATTTTTACTAAGTTCACTGGGTTCTGTAATTTTATTTGTTCTTGTAGTTGACAAGATAAAGAGTTGCTTTTTCCACCCTCACCTTGTATTAGTCAGTCTTTCTTTTAAAAAAAATTTACTGCTTCATCTGCAAAACTTGCTGTCTACGTATCAGTCACAAAGATTATCCTTATGCTGCAGAGGGTCAAGAATGGAGTTGAAGGCCTGAGAACTAACTAGGGGACAGAAAATAGAGTGAATAGTCAATGTACAGAGTTAGCAGGAGATTGCCTTGAAGTTCTGTAATGGCCCTCTTGTATTTATGTTAAAAGGAAACTTAAGAAAGTGGGGAGAGCAGCAAAGTAGCCAATTCTGCAGAGGTGTTAAGCAAGAACTAAGAGGAGAAAGGAACTTCAGAGAGACCTAACTGAAGTATGTGAATGGGGCAACACAATTTATTTGTTGCCATGGATTTTCTGTTGGAATGGAAAATGTTATCCCACTCTATTTTACCAGGCAGTAAGCTAGCTAGGCCTGGTAAAGTTAGGCCATAGACCTATTGTTGCAGACAGCTCCAATGAAGACCTCTACTTTATGTGTAGATGCAATCAAACAAACAAACTCATGCCAGGAAGCCTTTAGAATGGAATATGCATAGATGGTAGCCTATAAGGAAGGTTGCCCGACACATCTAGGCCTTGTTTGGTTTCAGAAAGTTTTAGCCATCAATCATTTGAAATTCTAAAATGTTTGGCATCTGCCTCAAGCTGAATTTTGCCTATAGGAAAAAATATGACTGATATTTGTAAACTGATAAATAAGGGACTGCATTAAGGTTGCCTAGGCCTCCTGAACTGTGGCATTTCCTGAGTCTAACTGTAGCACTGATGTTCCTTTAATGTTCTTGACTTTGGCTATAAGAGATCACGGGTGCAGGCTCAGCTGGAGTAATTTGCAGTACTTACATAGTTAGATAGTGCAGGGGAATTTGGAGAAAGACCACTATGATGGGTGGAGCTGGAAAAATTCTATTAGGAGTGAAAAGATTAGGATTAAGAGATGAACATGGACTGAAGCCTGTAACATGAATTTGGGTGGGGGGCAGGAAAGTAGTGGCAGCTTCTTGATCATTTGCTTACTCTCTCCCCGCTCCTTTTTCCCCCCAATCTCCTTCTATCATAGAGAAGTCTTTTATATAAAAATATCCTTGCTGAAATATGAGGTGGGCACTGGGCAGCATGATTAAGTGATGCACAGTGATGGTCCTATATTAATAAAGCCACAGTTAATGGCCACATGCTGTAGAGTGCAGTGATAGCATTTTACTTTGCTGTCCTGAAATACTCTTCCGCATGGCTCAGCTGGAAACACTGACATAAGTCCTCAGTGAATGCTTCTGAGTAATGGTGGCAGTGTGTGGGAGTGTTCGTTTGCTGACCTAATTCTGCCTCCTGGGCCTCTTTTCCAAAGCTGTTCAGGTAGCTTGGCTCAAATTTCTTCCTGCAGTATGTAGTTAGGAAGGGGGGAGAACGTTACTAGCTTCAGCATTTTAATTCCTTGAGTCCCAGTGCTGTTTTGCTATTGAGGAAGTCCAACAACCCAGTCTAAACTCTGCTCCCTAAGCACTAGCTGTTGGGCTTCATGTGACAGCAGAGGAACCATGGACTCTTAATTCACTTTTTGTCTCTGGCTTTCAGCCCAAACAGGACCCAGCAGTGCATAGAAACAAAACCAGATTCTGATGTTCTGCAGCATGGTGATACAGTGTCCAATACTGTAGCTATGCAGCCACAGCGCTCTCACCTTTTGGAGCTCTTCTTACAGACTGTATTTATGATGACACCTGGCTCATGGCTGCAGGGAACCTCAAATGTAAGGTTGAGAAATTATTTTAAAATAAGAAAGTACTGAAGCACTGTGAAATGCACAGATCTCTGCTTACAGCTCTGATGAGATAGCAGAAGCTGCTCTTTGTCAAGGCTGTGATGTCTATGCAAATACTATGCCAGCCTCACAAGAGCATTTTCTAATTCCTGAATGTAGTCCAAGTAGTGATAAACAGAACCCTGACCCTATCCAAGAAGAAGTGATAATTCCACACTGACTCAGCAAAGGTTTAGGACTACAAATGAAGATATTACAGCTACAGTTTACATTACATCTGTACATTCTGTATATATCCTGATATAAATAAACCAATTTCTGTTTAATGCATCTTGCACCTTTCTCTAGTTTGGTAATCTTGGTACTAAACACTACAGAGCTGCAAAGCTTCACTTGTTAATTAATATAACTGTCTTCAATAGGCTGGGCATGAGCTAGAACTTTGGCAGTATTTTCACTGCTGTATAAAGGATGGATTTCAGACTGTGGCTCTGTGTAATCAGGCAAATGAATAAAATAGTGCTTTTTATGCCAAGAGTGTTACCATTATTTTATTCTGCGATGGAAGATTTCAGTCGCAGCCCCCCTCTGTGCTATGCAGTGAGAACATGAAGCGCACAATTACAATAAAAATAGACACAATCTCAAAATAGTTTGGGTTTTAATGAAAGTTGTATTGTTCATACAGTACATTGCCAAACAAATCCTATTTAATTTTTAGGACAACTCCATCACCAGTCCAGAATGGTTATCTTTAATCTGCCATTTATGTCATTGCTGCCAGTGCCACATGGGAAGAATCAAACAGCATAACATGCATATAAGTTGGAAGCTGCAAGGTAGATTTTACAGTACAGGCCTCGCGTAGGATATTCCTGTACCTGTCTTCCCTGTAAAATTCTTAATAGCAGCTGGTCAGAAAGGCACAAAACAAGCTAAACTTTAGAGAGTAAGAAGTTGTGAAACCTCAAAGTAGCAGCTAAAATCCAAACTTGAGCAGTGCATTGAAGACAGCCTACAAATACAGCAACAAGGCTACTGCAGTGCTTGATGGCTGCTTTATGAGGTAAATGCCATGAGTTGCTGCAAACAGCACAAGTTTAAGTAGAGGCCAGCAGGCATCAGCTAAGCCAGGAAACACACCAGATGTGACTTTAGTGGTAATCAGGTGTCAGGTTAGATTGTAATAAGTCTGCTGCCTGCTAAGGAGGCCCTGCCTTTTGTTCCTCTGTCAACCCTTCCAGGTGGCCTGCTGAAACAACCAGAGGCAGTAAGCATAGCAGCTCTGTATCACCTGTTTCTCTCCAGCCTATGAATGTGTGTTGACAAAACTCATCTTACAGCTATTGAAAATATCCCCCACTCTGCTAAAAGCAAGAGGAGCAACAGCCCTACAAGACTCTTTGCAGACTAACTTAAATTATGAGGAAATATCCTAGGTTTAGAAAAGTAGCCTGCAACTCTCAGAGAGAGAGAGAGAGAGCAGGTCATTTAAAACGTAATGATCTTACAGGGAAATAATCTGTTTTGGCATAGATGGTATGCATCTTCCAATATACATTTAACCAAGTGGCAGAGAACCAGTTGATCCTCAGCAAGTCTTGGGGGTCTTTCAGTGCTACTCCTGCATTAAGATTGGTCCCTGTAACAATATTAAAAGGAAAGCTCATCTTCTGCAGCATAAAACAGACTAATTCTATACTTCCTGTATTATATTAAACTCTGTTCAGTTCTTTCAGTAGCTTCTGTGCAGCTGTGTTCTTTGGTTCAATTTTCAGAAGGCTGCTAACATCAGCAATACTTGACTTGTAATCCTAGGAGCAAACAAAAGTACATTGAAAAAGCAGGCATGTTTGTAGACCTTTAAGGCTCACACACTGAAGAGCCTCTACTGGGCAAAAGCCATTCAACTGGACCTGTTACAGCCCATGTTAATTTACGTGTCCTTATCATAAGGGGTTGATAGGATGTTTTGTAACATACTTAAACTAGGGAGTAAAAAGGCAATCACTTTAGTAGCTTAGGTGGATGTCAAACAACTGCATTAGCCTTCCTCTGGTTTCAGATGTTCTAATGTTGCCGAATTTCATCAGTTACAGCAGCTCCTATAAAGTGGCATTAAGTATATTATAAACCCCACAACAATTAGCTGGGTGTCATATCTACAGTCATCTTCAGTAATCCAATCAACCTGTACCTTGGTATTTCCAGACACTTATCAAGCAACCGAGGATGCCAAAAGGGCTGAAGCTAATGAAAACATCCAAGATGCTGCCAGCCAGTGAAAAGAGCAGTTGTCCCCTTACCACATACCAAAGCTTAGTCTAATCAGGTAGCAGAATTATTATTCCACAGATACAAATCTTTAGTTTTACTGATTCAAAACTCAGTTTTTTGCTTCAACATGACCAGGTGTTTGTTCTTACCCTAAAATAGTACCAAGCTCCTTAATAGTTACCTTTAGTTCTTTAAATGCCTGAGCACGTCTGTAGAATGCTTTAATATTCTTCGCATCTAACTTCAGAGCTTCTGTGCAGTCTTGGATTGTTTCCTTGTACTGCTTCAGAGACAGGTAACAAAGAGCTCTGGAATACAGAAAGTGGAGGTTAGAGGTCTGGATCCATGTGCAACAATTCCTATTTGGGCACTTACAATCAATTGTAATCAGGCTTCTTTCTTGGAAAAAGTTGCTAGAGAAAGGTGACCTTGACTGCACAAAGATTAGCAGGCATTTTCAGAATAAGGTTAGGAATGCCATCTGTCTCTCTCTGCAGTGCATACACCCCATCAAAAGACCCCCATCTTGCCCTCACCCAATCAGAAACTGCCTTTTAATAAAACTCTAATATGGGGAAAGAGATACTAAAAAGTGGAGGGATCTTACTCTCAAGTTTAAAATGTGTTTTGGTTAAAAAGGGAGAAAAATATATTCTCTTAACAACAATAAATTAATATTTTTTTCAAGAATAGCTTATGATTCCTAGCTTTAGGAAGTATTAAAATTATAGTTTTCTATGTGTATTCTCCTGACAGATTCTCTGTACGCTGCAACTGTCTTCAGCGTCCCACATGTGGTAAAGGTCTTGGATATGTCTGTGCAGTTATTTGTAGTCAGCAGGGCAGCAGACATCATCAAAACAGGGGGTTCTTAGCTGATAAAGGGTTAAAAGGAAAAACCCCCTAATGGTTCCAAGTCAAGAATTTCCACATGGGCTCCACATGGCCACTTAAGAAAAAGAAAGGGACCCTTCATCTAAAAAGCTAGTCTCTTACAAAATAAAATGCGTCTGGCTTGTCTCTCTCACAAGCATGCAGAACCTTCTCTAGTCTGATCTAAGAGCACTGCTCATATGTTAAAAACATGCTGTTTCCATTCATTTAAACAGAGGCTGGTTGAGCGTCAGATAGCAGGATTTGGCCCTAGTTGATTAAGAGTTACGATGATGGCTCTAGGATGTACCCCAAAGGGCAGAGGTCCATAGTTCTGCTTGAATGTTACCTGTTGGTATAAGTAGAAGATTCCTGGTTTTGTTTGAGACTCTCTCTGTACTTTTCAATAGCTTTCTTATGGTTTCCTTTCCGCACAAGTTCATTTCCTTCTTCCTTCAAAGTTTTTGCTCTTTCAATGGCAGCAGCTGTAGGCACTGGAAGTTGTGTTGAAGAGAACACAGTACTATGTGAAACAAAGAGTTTGGCAGTCTCATTTATTACTACAGGAATCAGCATCATAAATTAACTTCACCATTAAGTACAACAAAGTAAGGCACTGTAGGAAACCTGATTCCTCCCACAGAACTCCATCCTAGGGTCAAGTGAGCCCTGGACAGACCCCATCCATGTACTGTCCCCTCTTGACATCACAACTCTGGTGGCCATCTGAACAGTAAAGTGCTCACCCTCTTTTCCTAGAGGTGCAGTCTCATTTGGTTTGGTTCTCGGAGCAGCCTCTTGGCTTCCTGCATGAGGAAAGTCCCATCTTCTCTGAGCAGAAACAGGAACTGAAGGGATTCGTGGGAGCTTCTGGCGCCACTCAGGGCCATCCTTCTCCAATAGAGCTTTTGTCATTCTGCAAACAGATACAGATTGTGCAGCTACTAACTCTGCTGAGAACAGGCCTGTAGTCTACCAGCAGGCCTCTAACTAACCACTTGCCAACAGTTACTAGCACTGCTGTGCATCCAGCCCCACGTGTGAGATTCAGCTGGAAGAATGGGACTTTAATAGAACTGCTTCTTTTTACTGCCTGCCATTTGAGTAGTTCAAACATTTACTTAAGTATGCAGTCATGCCTGCTACTACAGGAGTAAGTACAATTAGAGAGCTGATATCCAAGTCATTCCAGGGAAGCCTGACTTCTCCCTAAGAACTCTGTCCTACAGCAAAGTGATCTATGGACAGAACACACTGATGTATCCAAGTGCTGTTGCTGAGCACATGAGAAACACCATTTTACATATAGGAAAAATCAAGGAGTTAGGCGTCTTGTCCAAGGTCACAAATCAAGTCAGGAACAGGACTGGAACCCAGATCTCCCATTGCCCTATTCCTGAATCATGAGGCCATGTATCTTCATGAGAAGAACCAGACAGGGAAGTAAATACAGGACATCTGTATCTGCCATTCAGAAAGGATGCTTAATAAGACTGCTTGACTGGAACCATTTCTAATCTAACCCTATTCCTTCCTTCACATTTCACAAGATGCTTTTACAGAGAGAAGTTTGTTTTACAGAATCATCTCATTCCCCTTGTTCAGGGCCTCTTTTGGCAACTTAAGTACTGTGGAATTTGTCCCCACATCTCACATCCGCCCCCTTATGAAAAGCTGAGAGAGGCTCTTCCTACTAACCAGATTTCAGAGAAAGGACTTTTTTTTCCTCAGCAGAAACAAAACCAAAAGCAGGAACATATGCTGGGATTGGGGCTATGAAGTGTACTGCAGAACAAATGAAGATGTAGAGCTGTGGCAAGGTTTAGGTACCTGTCATTAATCGTGGACCTTGTTGAGTCAAGCCTACTGCAGTCATATTTACTCTATTTATCCTATGGGGAGGGGGCACATATTGAATCATGACCACTTATTCATTAGCTGCTCAAGAATAAACAGTGTGCAAAATGCTTGAAAGTGTGAACAGTCAAGTGTATCATTTACCAGCTAGAAGGGAGGGAAGTAGCATAAAGGGCACAGAGAGCTGCAGGGCTGACAGCAAACAACACTAACACTAAAGAATTCACAGCATTGGGGTAGAAGATGAATGGGTTTCTGCTATTTAACCAGAATCCAAAGTCACCCAACCTGTCCATGGGCAACCATCCTAAAAGCAGGGCTGTGAGTGACCCAGGCTGCTGCCTGTATTGTCAAGCCTCCATTTTGGCTTGTGTAACAGTATAAACTTAGAAGTTACCTGTTGACACCATCATGTGCAGCCTGTACAGTGCAGTCAATCTGCAATACAGTCTTGTAGTCCACATAGGCTAGCTGGTATCTCTCAAGAGCCTCATAGGCTGCTGCCCGCCTCAACAGAGGTTTGATTCCAAAAG